GGTCTAACGAGGATAAAAATTTTCGTTACCGCTTAACAATTAAATACATGGGAAATGGAGACTCGGGAACATTTACTTGCACTTCACCGCGCGGACTAACAAATAGTGTTGCTATAATTATGGCCACATCCACTTGCCCGCAGCTTCCAGAACCGGCGTTACCGCTCAGCTTACGATTGGAAGGCGATAAGCTTGGCCAGCGTGCAATGTATCGTTGCCCACCAGGCTTCCGAGTCGATGGTATTGCCAATGCAACTTGTTTAGCTTCCGGTAATTGGTCATCGCCGCCACCAACTTGTCAAGCTGTACAATGTCCACGTTTGATTTTAGATGATCCTCACTTAAGCTTAGTCGAATTGAATACATCTGCTTGGGGGCGAGCGGTGTTCAAATGCCAGTGGGGCTTCAAATTGACCGGTCCACCGGGTTTGGAATGTGATCCGACGGGCGTGTGGAGTGGTCCAGTCCCAAGATGTAGAGGTTAGTCTCGATAAATATACGCAAATCTAAATATAAGTACATATACAACAAATACACTTCTATTACACCTAATTCTTCCTCTCTCTCTCTCTCTTTCCGCAACCTGTCACAATAGCAATTCAATGTCCAACACCCATTCCACCATTAAATGGTCGTATAGGTGGCACTAACATAAATCAGCGGCGTCTTACAGTAGGCGCTTTAATCACTTTCAGCTGCAACGAGGGCCATACGCTAGTCGGTGAGCCTAGTATCATTTGCACAGAAAGTGGTTTGTGGTCACATCCTCCACCATTCTGTAAGTAGAATTAAAAACATATTCATACATATATGTATGTGTATGTAAATACATATACAACAGCAACAACTGCATGCACACCAATCCCTCAGTGAATGGGTAAGTGCACAGTCGTTAATCAATACTAATTAAAAAAATCAAAACATGAGAAAATAGGAAAGTTTACTCTAACTTGAGATAATTTCTATGTATTGTACTACTTATATGTATGAATATCATTGTCTTCGCTTCTCCAATTATTTTTCATTTAATAAGATGCATTGGTTTTCGTTTTCACTATATAGACAAATATTAATTAGTATTTTTAAAAATTATATCTATAATGAGTTTATCTTAGCCTTTCGGTCCAAATACACCAATCTCTTGTACAACACAGTTTGAAATTATATACAAAAATATATGTATTAGAGCCAGATATTACACGGACAAGTGACATATAACGAGCCGCGTTGTACATGGGATCTTTGGCGAATCGGATGTTAAAAGATGAGTATAGCCATATTTTGAATATAATATAACTTCTTTGATTTAGGTAAATCCCAATGCCCATATCCTGGTGATCCACCTAATGGCTTATTAGCGCCGTTGAAATTTAACTATGACTCTGGTGATTACATCAGTGTACAGTGTAGGCCTGGGTACGTGCAGTATAGTGAAAATGGACCACCGGAGCGTCCAAAATGTCAACCGGATGGTAATTGGTCTGGCCCCGTTCCCAAGTGTCGTAGTTATGAAGAAGTGTAGCTGATAAAAATGGCCGAACTAATGGAATCTTCCGAATTAATCGATCATAGTCTATTTATTCAACCTTCTAAGAAATAGTTGTTTAAATATGTACGTCTGACTATTCATATCGATCGATAGATGATGAATTAGTTTAACTTAGTTTTATTACTACAATTGTATAAATTCCAAAAGCAAAAGTTGTTAAATTATATTTACCAAAACATAATGATAATTAAGAAATAAAAACATACATATTTACAAACTTACATATTTATATATTGTATGCATAAGAAATATTAAATGTTAAAACATTCTAATTTAAAAACTCAAACTTTAAATCAAAAATATAAATATAGCTGTTTGTCTTTAAAGCACAAGATATTTAATATAAGTAATAAAATGCTACACCTCTTTCTCGTCCTAAATACTGCACCGCCTTCTTTCCCTATAAACAAATGCCATATACTATATCTCAAGATTTCCAAACATACTTTTTGTTTTCTTGCAAATTTTGTTTAAAAAAGTAGCAATTAAACGATGATATTTATTGAAAGTAATAAATATATTAAATTATATATATTCAAATATTTCTTTCGGGACAATCGACATTAACCAACATTAAGCTGCAATAAGAAACAAATCTTTTTTTCGATCTTGTATAATTATAGAAGGTTTTATTAACTTCCATGTAGTCGTTTCAAAGCAAATTGAAAATTTTAAAATTTAAATTCTTTAAATTTAAAATATATTAATAATATAATATGTTAATAACATCCGCGTATCGAGGAAAATTTTCGATGAAGTTTAATGTTGATCGATCGCCCAATGGTTCTTGCAGTTATTAGCTAGTTTGTATTTTACCATAATCTTTTTAATGCACATTCTACATTTAATGTGATTAATGTTTATATAAATTACACTGTTTTTACCAAAAAAATTGTTGTTCGGTGTGTACGTTAAAGAACTTTATATAATTACTGTAAAAATTAATATACTTTCTATATTTTCTTGAGGTTCTCTATGTAAATAAATTATTATTACTCTTATAATATATTTCTCTAAAATTCAATTATAAATATGAATAAAAAACAACAGATTGTTATAAAATGCTAATTAGAAAAAATGTGATTGTAAAAAAATAATACGACTCAATAAATTAAATTACATTAAATTAAAAAATTACAAAATAAACTGCAATTTTTAATACATAACAAAAATCTAAAATGACATATTTGATATTTTTTACACAATTACTTTTAGAAAAGTTGCAGACAAAATTTCGGTTTTGAAGATTTAATAGCACCTAACTCTGTCCTTATATACGTATGTATATTATTTAAAAAAAAAACTGTTTTTATGTACATCCATGTTCAAAGAATTTGACGTATTTTATAATGTACATACATATGTGACGAAATTTACGTCATCTAAAATGCAAAAGGGCGTAACCAACAAAAAATGTAAAATCGTTTTTTTATTGAACCATATTGTCGAAAACACCAACGTTATGAACGTGAAACTCAATAGTAAGTAACAACAAATTAGTCATTTCCACCCGCCAGATAGTCCTAAAAAGCAACATAATGGACAATGCCTTGTGGCACACTTACATACTTACATATGGGCAATTCCATGAAAAGGTAAACCACGACTGAAAAAATAAAACCCTTATAACTTCTGCATTTTTAAAGATAATTCAACAAAATTTGGTATATGATCTTTTGTAGCACCAAAGACGAAGACTGTTGAAAATTTTTGAAATCGGTCTATTTTTACACCTCGCCGCCATACAAACGAAACCGAAAATATCACTTTTTAGCTCATAATTCTGTTAATTATAATACTTCACTTCAAAAATCGGCAGATCTAAAATGTTTATAAGCCTAAACCTTTATGCCAATTTTCATAACGATTGGACCTCATTTGACCCTAGTTCCATTCAAAGTTTAATTTTAGAAAAACATTTAAACTTCCGTAACTCACCTCTAATCACTAGTAATATGATAAAATTTGGCACAAATAAGTTTTATATGAATTAAAATCACACCTTAGAAGTTTATAAGGATCGGTCCATATTTGACCCTAGTCACCATATAACTCCAGTTTTTTATTTTTATATATAAATTGCTTAAACATGTATATAGGTCGGCCATGTCCGACTGCACTTTCCTACTCCTTTTGATTTGTTGAAGTGTGTGTATGCATATATTTCCAAAATATATATTTTATAACCTAAAGAAATCAGGAGAAAAATCTGTCACCTACGATGCGTCACGTACGATATTTAAATATGTTCATTATAAAATTATATTAATTTCTTTTTTTATTTAAAAATTATGGATTACTAATGAAAAATATGTCCCATAGTGTAAGAAATTAAAACAAAAAAGATACACCTATAGAATTCGCAGATTTTCGTAAATATTTACATGTACTTTAAAAACACTTCCGTTTTTTGTCACGTATGATATCGCCATATTTTAATCCATATTTTGGAAAACAAGGTTCCGAATGGGATGATTCCTTTTGCATAATATAGTATTCTTTAAATGGAACAGAATGACAAAATTGTTTTCCAAGTACTCCTAATTTTACAAAATCAATCGTATGGAATTGCCCATATGTCCTGTAAAATTTTGAAAAGTTTTACGCCGTTTGGCATTTCAGGTGACGATATGTACGTACATCCACCAAGTGAAGACAAGAGGATATAACATACATATTTCTGACAAAGTAAATGAACGAACAAGTGGTGAGTAAGTAACCTATTGAAACAAGCGTGCAATTAGAATATATGCTTTACAAAAATGATGACAATTCACGTAAGAAACAATAATTATAAACTTTTATATTATAACGACTCGACCTCGATTCCAAATGAAATGTTATTTTATCAAAGAATTGTTTTAATGGAATGAATACTTATATATACTTTTTTTACTGAATTAACAGTAAAAAGTACTAACAAAATATTTAACACGAATTATTTCTTATATACAATATAGAACTCCTTATGTCTTATTAAAATTATATAATATCCCAGCAAAAAAAAATAGTTCAGCATAAATGTAATTTTCACGGGTTTTATACCTATTCTAAATGACTCTTAAATTATTTTAAACATCGTTCAAAAATTTTTGAAGCTTTCAATACCGTCAATTAAAGATTCTTTTATGTCATACTGTCTGCCCTACTCCCTACATTTTACGAGAAAGAATAAAATAAATAAATAAATAAAAGTATGGAAGCCTCCCCAAAATTTTTACATTCAGGTTTCGAATCCATCCTTTTACAGCTCTATCGAGATAGATCGTGGCATTATCTTGCTGAAATGTTCTTTGCATAAATATGTGTACTTACCTTGAAATTATTTTTATGAAAATTTGTAGTGGCCCTTCCTATAGTGACAAAACTTCCAGATATTAAACTAACCAAAGTAAATATTTAAGTACCAGTTAAGGATCGGTATGCACTTAATAAAGGAAAAACAGTAAAATTAACAAACGATATAATAAACATTTTATTGACAAACTTTAAACCGTCTACAATAAAGGGTGTATAAAAATACATAGTTTTATATAAAATACGAACATATCGTTGATAATCACGTACACAACCACAAAACAGTCTGTTCAGTTTGTGCGAATTTTCAATACTATTTAAGCAAATACGAAATAATGTAGATTGGAGTAGAAAAAAAATAAAATACACAACAAAAAGGCAGCAATTTTCCTAGACTTGAATGCGGATGCTGAACTAACCCAAGCAAAGGAAAATTGGTGGCTTAATTATTAATTTAACACACACACACTAATTTCAAATTTCCAATTTTAGTTTTTTTCTTGTTATTTTTAAAGTAGAGATATTTCAAAAACAAAATTATTTTGTATAATTAAAATCAGGGAATGGATTTTAAGATTGATTGGATGTAATTAGTTCAATAAGAAATAACATGTACATATAATTTAAGAGTTATATGTAGAAAATTTAATCGCTAGCGTTAATTGTGATTGTTTTACCCTTGGGATCATCGAAACGATCCATGGTATTAATATCCATCATCCAGCAAACGCCAATAAATGTGATGGTCAGTAATAGGGCAACAATCAGAAGACCTGACAAAATACCACCTGTGAAGAAACCAACACAATGCCAGGCATCACCAAATACAAAAGTGGCGTTGTCGGTGTGACCGAAAGGTGCTTGGAATTGCAAAGAATTCCACTTTAAAGTGTAGGCAGGTACTTTATCAGTAGGAATATTATTTAATGTCAAATTTCCGCAGAAATATGAAAAATCTGTTGGTGCATACACTTCGGAACTAAGGAACTTGACATTATTGTACATAACATTCTTCATGAAGAAATAACCACCAGCAAGAATTACATCAAAAGTCAATGGCGAACCAGTTGTGGGAGTTAAGGTTACGGACATTTCGGTTGCGTTATCAGCTTTTACAGTCATGCTACTAATATCTAAAACAGTAGCTGAATTTTGTTCGTCAATTATGCTCAATGAAGTAAAATATAGCAAAAACTTGGAGCTATCACGGAAGATGTAACCTTCTGAACTGTCTGTAGCTTGGCGACGTTGACGTTTTAGCACAGATGTTGAGGGGGTAGATGTATAGACGAAGAAAACATTATCACCAAGCTGGGAAGTTACCGAGGCAATAATAAAGTCTAAAATGCAATATGATCCATCAAAATATATTCATAAAACTATTATTGTTTGACCTACCATGTGATTCCAAACTAGATCCACGGACGGCAGTGTGATCATCTTCGAATGTTACAAAATTGATTTTACCAGCGGCGGTTTCCAAAGGACTTTTGAATTTACCAGAAGCGTCTACGGAATTGTACTCTGCTTCTCCATTGAGTTTACGTAAGGATTCCACGGGACTTTCAACAGAGGCATAAAAAGTTTTATCACTAACACCTTGTAAACGAGCATAGCACGATTTTCCATCAGCGGCATTGGTGCACAGGAAATCTTTGTTGGTCAACTGCAAATAATATACACAATAATCATTAATCGCTACTATCTTGATTTTTGGCTTTACAACTTACGTCTTTTTCCATGAACACAACCAAGGCCTTATCAGCCAACAGAGGAGTCACGAGTTTGGCAAATTCATCGCCAGGCACTGTTACCAGTGAAGGTTTAGCCACACTTGAGATTTAAAGTAAACACATTTTATACCGTTTTTCAACAACAATTTTAACATTAACACTTACCTGCTGGCGCCCCATAAAAATACTGGAGACTGTTCCGCGAAAGCCAAACCGATGACACACAACGTCAATATCAACGACCTTATCGCCTGCATTTTTCCTTTGTTTCACTTCTGTTTTTTTCAATTTTTCTCGTCGCAAACAAAATTCAAAACAATTGTGTGAAAAATTAAAACTTTAAAATGAAATCAACAACAAAATTAGGCTTAAAAAATAATGGAAAGTGAAAAAATTATCCAAATAAATCAAATTTTCACTATTCCATACGAAAATACGTCGTCGTTGTCCACTGTCAAATAATGAAAATTTTTCTTGTTGCATATGACAGTGTCATGTGATTGAAACCAACGAGTCTCGATTTCCAGACCAACCTGTGACCGACCGACAGGGTTGCATTTTTTGCCAAACATCAAAAAATGTGGCAGCACATAATGTAGGTAGGATATCTGTTAACAATTTTAAAGTGAAACATTTTAATTTTTACAAGCTTAATTAATATTAAAACAAACCTAAAACCTTGTAAAAGTTTGTATGGTGGCGATTTTTTATTGTTTACATTAATTGTTTTGTATATCCGCTCGGTGTATATCGAACACCGGCTAAAAGTGAAACAAAAAAATACAATTAAAATGCATGTATGTAAATTGAATTAATTTCAAGTGCAATTTTAATTTATAAACTCCAGAGAAGAAGTAGATGTATATACATATGTATCTGACGTTGAATAATGTTTCTGGGGGTATAGAGAAAATTGTTGTATTTATAATAAAAAAAAATATATAGACAAATTTTAATCAAAAGTTTAGATATTTAAAAAGTCGAATTTAACAAATATCTTGTTAATTGTTCATAAAACAAACATGTGCAATTTTTAAAAATTACAATTATTATTTTTAAAAATTACAATGTTGCTGGTGCTGTCTACTATACTTGCCTTTAAAAGTCGACTTTTCGATTCATTTCACATCATGACATCATGTAAAAGCCTACAAAAGCAACAGCTGATTACGAACACATTACTAAAAAAGAGAAGAATAAAAAAGCTTTATTATTGTTGAAATATAATTAAAATATACAACATTTTTTTCTTCAAATAATAAGATAAATTTGTGAATGTTTTTAATGTAAAATATTATAAATGAAACAGTGGGAGTGTAAAAACATAGTGAAAGTTGGCTTTGTTAAGAATGAAGCAGAATAAAAACAAGTTTTTATATATGGTTTTTGTAGTTGTTATATCTTACTAAAAGCTTCTCGGTTCAGTATTTATTAAGCTATGATCATCGAATAATTGTTTTCTAAGGGCGGGTTTCTTACTACTCAGTTAAACTAGGCTTAACTTGCTGTTAGATTAAACTCGGAACAAATTTAGGCGGACTTTAACCGTTGATTGTGTTTTTCAGTTATGGATTTAAGTTCAGTTAACTTTGTAAGTATTGCCAACTTTTCACTCAAAAACATAAACAATGAACAGCTGTTTTTTGCAAATAATACTTTTGTAAAATGAAAAATTTTGGAAAAATGTTAAATAAACATTTAAAACAATAATAAATAAAACAAAACAAATCAGAAAATTGCAATTTACTTAAAATATTAAGTTTTTGATCTTCCGAAATCATTGTTTTATTGTTTTTGTTAATTGTGTCTTCTCACTTATAACTTAAGTTTAATTGGCCAATAACACTCAGTTAAACTAAGATAATAAGTAACGTTACTCTTTACTGAAAAACACAAAACATATATAAACTAGGTTTAAACAAAGAATGTAGATTATCCTTATCTGAAAAACCCGCCCTAAATAAAATAAAAACAAAAAATATTCAGTTTAGTGAAAAAAATTGTGGGAAACGGAAGTATTGCAAGCAAATTGCACTATCATTCTTATCAAATTATTATTTTACATAGTATTTACAAAATTATATTTAATAATAAAATAATTAAACACTAAAATACTGATATCAAAAACGAAAAAAAGATAAACGCAATAGTAATAGTTAGTAATGAAAAGCTAAAAAGTGATATTTCTTTGTTTTAAAATACATTTAAAATATTGTAAATAAATGCACACACATCCATACTACACGTATTTTGTTAAACAGTAAAACAAATTATAAAAGCCATGGCAAGTGATGAAGAAAGGCTCTACGATCCCATAGAAAGGAATGAGGAGGATGATTCAACACAAAATATTGATGCCGCCTCTACCTCCTCGACAACACTCTCCAATAATAATGAGGAAGCAGCAGCCTCTAATAATTATACTGCCTCACAGACAAGTGAGGTAAAACATCGTTGGTTTATTTTGGAGCCAGCGGTTTTCCTGGTCTTTTTGTCCATGTATTTATCTGGTAAGCAGATATTTAAATCAAATTATAATTCGTAAATATTTCAAAATTTTTATTTACCATTACAGCCACCGTTTATCAAAACCAATTGTTGTATCAAACATGCATTTATATTAAGCACTACAACGATACCGTATGCCAACCGCTCTTAGGAGTTGAACCTGAGTCTGAAGAAGTTCGGGTAAGTATCTACCTTAGTCATAATCAGGGCAACCAAAATATACCTATATGTTCTAAAAGGTATTCATGCGCATAAAAAATAAAAATAAATAGGTATGCGTTTAAAAATGCTGGAATAAATTCGCATTCATTTTTTATTCGGCTCGAAATATTTAAATGAAAAATCTTTTAAAATTTTTAATTTGGCTTGAAATATTTAAATAAAACATTTTATAATCATTCTCCGGAAGATTTTTCAAGGACTTAATCCATTCCAAAAAAGAAATAATTATTAATAGGAATGAGTTTATTAAAAACTCAATTCTTATTTTGTAATTAGTTCCAATTCACTTTCTTTCAAAACGTTTCTAATAAATAAATTAAACTCAAAGTTAATTTTTAATTTAATATTTTAAACTAATGGTTAACTCTTTTGCAACAGAGTGATTTCAAGCAAAATTTAATTAGTCTAAGGGAATTTAACATTCCATTGAAAACAATTCATTAGGGTAAATGATTCAAACATTTATAATCCTTTGACCATATAAGTAGTAAATTGCGTTAACAAATTTAATTAAAATGTGCATAAACACTCTGTAAAACGCAAAAATATTGTATATAGAAAAGCAATTAGTAAAATATGTTCTAACAAATCGGTGTCAAAATTCATTAAATTGTCTGAAGTGAATATTTTAAGTATCAATATAAATTATGTGTATAATGTTTTAGGGCTTGCTACAGTAACACCAAAATTATTTTCATAAAATTTTAATATAATTATTTTATGTAATAATTATATTATATTAATATAATTATTTTATTATTTATATATATAATGCATAATTGTACAAATTTCACATCATGTTAGAATTTTTCAAGACCGTTTTTCTCAATGTTTTAATTTTGTTGCATATCGAGTTACTGCAATAAGGTCTTCATTTAAATAAATAAAAAGTTTCTCGACCACTTATGTTAATTAAAGAAATTTTAGGGTTTTAAAAGAAACATATAAATAAGAATAAAATAAAAAGTATGTACAAGTTGCAAATATTTTAAAAATCGAACAATGATCACACATTTATTAAAATTTCATTGTTTTTTATGGATTATTGTTATCTGTATTGTTAAACTTTAAACAAAGCAAAAAGCAGGGCGTACATATGTTTTAATATACATTTTGTTTCACTTACATTTAATTGTTTAGTTCTTATCACTCGCATTAGAACAATAAAAAATTAAAGCGAAATATGTATTAATATGCCTACCAGCAATTAACTTACAGATGTATATGCTCTCCACAAGACGTATGACTCTAATAGAGGCCTTGAAAATTCATGTAATCAGTTCTGAGCTATCATAATTTTTCATCACCTTAATAATACATAGTTGTGTTTCTTTTAGTTCACAAGTCGCAATAAATATACCTATTTGCAAATTAAGAATGTATTATGCAATTACATATTTAAAACAGCACAATATTTTCCCGATGATAGAAAAATATTCTTTTCCCTTTGAAATATGGGGCTAATTTTGATACAATTTCAAGATGATATGTTTCGAATAAAGATTCTTGAATAAAATGTGATCGTGAATTTAATCCACTGGCTAGGAATTAAGGACAGTTTTTTACGTACTCAGTCCATTATTACTCTTCAATTCTATAAAAAAAAATCCTAAAAATATTTTTTTCACGAGATACTCTAATATACATACATGTAATGTAATGTTTTTAAGTACAATTTTAATTTGAATAACAAAAAAGTAAAAACTTGATGATTCATTATAAAAAATTACTTTAACTAATTGATAATTGTCGACTATTTAATTGGTTGACAATATCTCGCATAATAACGTTATAATTGACTTAGATATTTTATCTATTTTTTAACACTCTAAGCGCATTGAAATTGAAGTGCAACCATACGTTGCGAAAATCCTAATGGCTCGTTCATTGTTGGAAAGTATTATTCCAGCCATTGTAAGTTTATTTATAGGACCATGGTCAGATAAGTTCGGACGCAGACCAATTGTTTTGACCACATTCACTGGTGAGATGCAAATAAAATTTCAATGCTTAAATTTAATAATTGATATTGTATTAATTCTTAAAGGCTATTTGACGGGTTCAGTTATTTTAACAACTTTAACATATATATCAACTAAAACTGCTGTAAGCCCTTGGGTATTCTTGTTAAGTTCTGTACCCTCTGTGCTGAGTGGAGGCACATGTGCTCTAATAACTGGTATATATTGTTACATATCTGATGTGGCGAAAGAAAAAAACAGGGCATTGAGGTAAAAATTATAATATAATTAAAATAGTACTTTTCATGTTGTTCTTTTGTAGAATGGTTTTAAATGAGGCTTCTCTGTGTGCTGGTATGATGGTGGGGAACGTTGCTAGTGGATATTTGTATGCAGCCACCGACGCTGTAACAGTGTTTGTTATATCGTCGTCCCTAATGTTATTAGCTTTGCTTTATGTCATTGTATTCGTGGTGGAAAGTTTGAAGCCAGAACAAATACATGCTGGAGTAAGTTTACAATATGAAAGTTTTTATTAAATTAATATTAACAAATACACATTTTTAAACCCCCGTATCCATAGTCTAAAGTACGAGAATTTTTCCGCTTTGATTTGGTAAAAGATTTAATACAAACTTGCTTAAAAAGAAGGCCCAATTTTGATCGCATTATTATTTGGTTAACTATGATGGCATTAACTGTAGCTATATTTACCATGGGTAAGATATGAATTCAAAACAATATGAATAATACCAATACAACAAATAAAAATTATGCTTTTCAGAGGGCGATTCTAATGTGACTTATTTATTTGTTCGCAAACAGTTCGAATGGACATTAAAAGATTTTAGTATATTTAATGCGGCCCGAATAGTTGTACAAATCATTGGCAGTATTCTTGGCATGTTTATTTTAAGAAGGGTAAATTACGTCTGGTTTAACATCGTTGCACAACTAGCATTTAAATATTTTACTTTACTCTAGATTTTCAAATTTTCAATTGTATCGATGACTATGATTTCTTTGGCCAGTTGTGTTCTCGAAAGTACAGTTAGAGCTACTGCAATATATTGGTGGCAATTATATTTAGGTTTATGCTTCGGTTTCATGCGAGGCATAATGGGACCAATGTCTAGAGCAATATTGTCACATGTGGCGCCATCTACGGAAGTTGGTAAGTTACATAAGTAAAGCCTATGTAATTCATAATTTCATAATGTATTTTAGGTAAAATATTTGCTTTGACAACATCAATGGAGTCGTTATCACCACTAATAGCAGCTCCTTTATATACACTAGTATATAATGCAACATTAGTTTACTATCCAGGGTTATTTAATTTCATTAGTGCTGGTTTATATCTGTTATGTTTTACTTTCATCTCGTAAGTTTTGTGAATCTGATTTGCAAGCCAATTTCATGTAATTTTAAAAATAATACATTTTTTTCAGAACAATTTACGGTATACAAAAATCTATGGGACAAAACGCTACATATCAAGCTATCGGTAGTTAATTGTTTTAAAACTAGCTAACTTTTATATCTTATTATTGAATAATAGCATAATTTTGTGATCTTTAATGTTAAAGAGTGATATCAAATACATTTGATAATAAATCATATAAATAACAAACGCACATACTAGGATATTTACAATTATATAACAAAGTTTTTTTATGGAGCGTTTAAATTTATAACTGTATTTAATGTTTGTTATTAGAAAAACCAAGTTTTTAAATAAATAAAAAAATAATTGGCAATTTGTTTGTATGTGTTTTATTCACTAAAGCGGAATGTAAATAATTTGACTAAAAACAAAGTTTTATAAATGACGGATGTGCATCAGTGATATCGAATTATTTTAATATTTGACCATAATGTTCTCTGTTATTAAATTTAAAGCGCAAAACAAATCTAAAACGAAAAAAAAAAAAATAATTTAATAATTCACACTTTTAATTGGAGTAATAATAAAATAACAAAAATACTCACAATAGAAATATAAATGCAATGAAATATAGTATTGCGCTGAATATATTGAACAAACCGGGAAATGATGTTAAAGATGCTTTATAAATGATTGTGTATAATGGAGCTGCCAAAAATGGAGCAATTGACTGTAAAATATTTTTGATTGAGAAGATTTTACCTGAAATTACAACAAATATTGTTAAAAATACATTTTTTACTGGATAGATTAATTATTTTGAGAATATGTACCTAAATCTGTGGCTGGTACAATATTTGAAACAATTGTGCGACACATTGGACCACCAACGGCTTTCAAAGCTCCGGCAGCAATGCCGACATATAAATGCCATGGTTCCGTTGCTACACCTTGTATAACGCTACGAATAATCTCACTTAAAAAGGCAATTAATGCCAAAGTGACCACTGATAAATGAAATACCTACAATAAATAAATAAATAAATAATTATAATAAACTGTACATTTAAACAAGTATGTGAGTAAATGTAATTTTAGACCTTTCGCATTATTAAAAATCCAATTAATGCGCCAAATACAGATGTAACATGACTTATAGTTTCATAGAATGTAAATTCTCTTATAGTCCATTGAAATTTTTCACGTACAAATAAGTAAAATACTGTCATTGCTCCATCCAAGACAAAAATTGCTAAAAACATTGTGCCGGTAACTAATAAAATTATGCTACGGTCATAGTAAGGTCGTGTCTTAAAGCAAGTAATCCACATATCCTTGACATGTCTGTAGCTAAACAAACCAGGGGTTTTCGGTTCCACAGTCGCCTCTTCGCCATCATTGTTCTTCTTCTCTAAAGAACTATTTTTCTCTACTTTTGGTACTTCTTCGCCATCTCTTCGAAGATCAACATCACGGAAATTATCATTATCAATATTTTTCTTTTCGTGTTCATTATAATTTTGCTTTAATTCCAATGGATTTGTCAATATTGTACATTTCATCGGAAGTTCATTGCAACACGTCTTCACTATATTCGATTCAGTTTCTTTGGACTTGAATTTTAAGCTTTCCGGAACACATAATGCTATGTAAGCAGTCGCTAAACACATTAATATGCCAGATAAGGAAAACGTGAAGGTGGCACTTGTGGCAGCATACACAAAACTAGAGAGTAATGAACCCACCATAAGACCAACTGATAAAAACGCTTCTAAAGAAATCATTCTGAAAATAGTAAATTTAATTAAAAACACATTCATAATATGAAATTCAAAGCTTCGAAAGAATTAATTCGCAAAATTCTTTTCTTTTAAAGAATTATAAATTTTTCAACAGCATTCACAAGATTTTATTCTGAGAATTACCTAATTTTTAAATATTAATGATTAAATTCTGTCCGAATAATTAAATTTTGTTTAAATTTAACCTGCTACAAATTAAATTAAAATACTTTTAATAGTATCCATAAAATTTTAAATTTAAAACATATTGTATTTTTATTAAAAATTAATTCATTTAGTTCAATTTTAATTTTTTTAAATTGCATTGAATGAATTAAAAAAATCTAAGAAAATTCTGAGTTTTAATTAAAAAATAAATTTCTGAATTATTTACAAGCTAATATTTTAATAGTACAGAATAGTACAGTACATTCAAATATTTTAAGCTGAATTGAAACTTAAGGCGATTTAATTTCAAACATAATTAATTTTTTCTAAACTTTGTAATTAATTTACTTACCTGTACGGCCTCGTTTTAGTATCTGTCACGTCGGATATAAAACAAAACGCTGCTACTGAAAACACACAATTACCGCCAAGTATGGAGTGGGGAATTACGGCCAATATATAATACCAAGGATTAACAGGATAATATCGCGATAGTTCGCAAATTATTGCCGCGATGACATAAGTACAAGAAAAGCCTTAAACCAAAAAAGTACCCAATTTTTAAGTGCAATAATAACTTGATTTAACGATTTTTTAAACTATAAGGATTGAAAATTTACGAATTATGTACCTACCTATCATTGATACCAACAAAAGTGGCTTACGGCCATAATGGTCCGACCAAGATCCAATAAATACACCACAGACCGCTGGAACTATACTTTCCAAAAGAGTTCGTATCATAAATAAATTTGCTACATATGGTTGAATTTCAGTTTCGATTTCCTAGAACCAACAATTTACATTTTAATTCTCAATAAAGAAAATAATAAAAAGTAAAAGTTTACCTGCAAGTAGCCGGTAACATTTTTTGTTCCTAATTGTAGGCAATCGCTTTCGTTGTAACGAAAAATTGTGGTGCATGCTTGATATATAACTTCATTTCTCATTATAGTTCCTTGTTAAATTGAAAAAAGACATTTTAAAAATATTAGTTGCCAAGTTAACAGAGAGAGAGGGCAGCGGGTATTTGCGACGTCGTAGTTCTAGTGTTTATACCTGATAAACTGTGTGAAAATACCAAAATAAAAACAATGGGCTCGATGTAAAACATATGAAAAAATTTCCCCCACTGATATTGTTTTATTTGTCTCCATACTGATCTTGCTGATGATTCTACCATTTTTAACGACACTTAACAAACTGTTATATTCGAAATTTAGACAAAAATTTTATGTAAACTAACTATTGTTATTATATTTTTCGTTTAATTTTAAGTTTTCGCATCAAAGTTTGTGTTCAAACTGAAGTTTACACTATAATCAATTCTGTCGTAAACTTCTCTCCAATGAAGCTTTTGTTTAAATCAGTTTTATATCAATTATTATAAATGATCGCATGTAGTTTTTTATAAATTTTATTTTGTTTTTGGTTTGTTATACAATGTTATTTACATTCATACGTTTTTATTTATTTTGTTATTTTAATATGTATGTGTTATGTTACGGAATATAGAAAATTTTTTAACTTTTATTTATTTATGCGATATATATGCATATAAGACATGTTTCTATGTTAAAATTGAGAAGTCATCTCCCAGACACAGTCTAAATTCAACTGAAAAGATATTTTGTTAACTGAAATAACCATTTCTGTTACTTCTTCTATCTTACCATATTAATGATATGGGCAGACAAGGCAAACATTTACTGAAAAAAGTGAGATCAGTACTTTTTGAAAGCATTTGTTTAAAATAGTTTTTTTTTACAAGTAAAATAAAAGCAATAAATATAATTGATTTTATTCTAAATAATTCGCACTTTTATAAATATGTAAATCAAAATACATTTTTGTTAGTGGTTACGTGTTTTTAATCATATATTTGCCAAGTTTGACTCCACTTTAAAAAGTATTTATATCTTTTGGCTGTTATTTTGAGGGAAATCACACTTGCTTATTGATGATGACAAAATAAAAAATAACATTTTTAAACTGGTTTTAATTTGCATTAAATAATAAAAGAAATAAATAGGGTATGTTCTACAATATTTATAGTAAATTATTTTTATTATTTAATTTTGCTTTTGTATTACAAAGACAATTTATTTGTTTTAATCAATTTCTTAAAACATTAAACATAAGTCGTACTTTTTTAAAGAAATTATCTTTATACAACAGTAATTTAAATTTCAAATTTACAAAATAAACCCACAATGTTATTGAGAAGCGTCATTTTCGAAAATTTTAAGTCGAAGCTTAATAGTTTGCAGGTTGTTTGTATTCTTAATTTTAGCACAATATTGCTAAAAATGTAAATCACGTTTTCGGTGTACAATATTAATTAGAAAATATAAAAAAGAAATTTTAATGCCGAATTTGCAAAGTCATTGCCAGCAGCTACATCCATATGCATGTACATATTTCTGCGTCATTATAGATATACAAATGTACGTTCAGTATTTATTTTGACTTATATTACAAGTATAGTATGTATTAACAAGATTTAGAGAATTTCAAGTACATACATATGTATATAGATATTTGGATTGTATCTTTCTACATCAATTAATTTAAATAAATCGTTAATATTTTTATGCACTTTGATTCAAATATTGCATTGTAACTTTATTATGTTATAAACAAATATGTATGTATGTATGTATGTATGTATGTATGTATGTATGTATGTATGTATGTATGTATGTATGTACATATGTACTTACATATATGTAAGTACATATTCATATTAAACATTTAATATTTAAAAAAAAATTAAATTAATTTAAATTAGCACTATAATAAATAGAGTATTTCTGTTTTTTACGAAAAACCACCCTAAAATAAAAAAATGGAAATTAAATTTTATAAAATATGATTCAAATTAGATAACTTACAAAATTAAACCAATCGCCAAAAGATACAAATTTGCACTTAAAATATTAAAGAAACCCGGAAAACTTTTAAGAGTGAACCCGTAAACGATTGTATATAACGGTGATGCAATAAATGGGACGAAGGCGTTCAAAGCACTAATGAAGGAAAATATCTTGCCTGCAAATTTAAAACAATTTTTAAAATAAAATATCTTTTTTTGCTCAACAGATCAATACTAACCCAATTCATTTGACGGTAGTATTTTAGTCAAAACTGTACGAAGCATTGGATTGACAATGGATTTTAAAGCACCTAATACGATGGACAAATATAATTGCCAATTTATAGCTGCGAAACCTTTCATCAAGCAATTACAAACGTTCGATAACAATCCCACTATCGCAAGATTTAATAGTGGAATTTGAATAACCTAAATAAAGAAAAATAATTAAATATCAAATCAAGGAAAAAGATAGACACCACGTAACTAATATAGCAACAATCTGGTGCTGATAAGCATCATCTAACAGAAAAATGGTTAGTTACGTGTAGTCAACGTTTTACCAATCGATATTATGATATTACTTACTTTTCTTAGCAACCATATTCCAAAAATATTTCCTAAAACAGGTACTAAAATACTAAGAGTTTCGTATGTGGTATATTCTTTAATGGTCCACTGAAACTTCTCACGTATAAAGAGATAAAAAACTGTTACTGATCCATCTTTAATGAAATAGAAATATTAGTTTTTAAATATAATATAGAGTTTAGTGATCACTGACTCTCTTACCTACTACAAATGCACAAATTACTAAAGTAGATACAATCAATAAAATTACAGCACGGGTTTCATATTCTCTGAATTTAAAACAAGTCTTATACATGTCCTTTAGATTTTTAATATCAAATAAATTTTTAAATCTCTGCTCCTCTTCCAAGGGATTTTCTTCGTTATTATTTGCAATATTTTCTGTCGATTGGACTTGTAGACTTTCTGGTATTATAAATATTATAAACAACGTTGCAAACAATAAACACAAAGCGGATATTGAAAATACTAATGTAGATGAAGTGTAATCCCGATATATGTAACCAGATGTAAAGGATCCCGCCATTAGTCCAATATATATAACGGCTTCGTAGAATACCATTCTAGAGTCCAAACATTGACATATATTAATCGTTTTCATTACAAACTAGAAATGTGTTTTTTGGATTGTTTTATCCGATTATTAATTGGATTTTGAGAAAAATTTAATTTTTGGCATGACTTAGATATTTTTAGAACAATAATTTTTTCTTTGCAAAAAATACGAAATACTACATAATATGTATGTATGTACATTAGAGGTGCCCACAAAATAACAATTTTGCTTGCATGGGTCCCATCATGTTCATTAGTGTCTAAAACTAACTGGTGTACTATTTTAGCCCACTCGGATAACGGAAACTTGTGAAGGAAATCGATTGGAAATTCGAAAATTGAGTTAACAATAGGACTTTTTTAATTTCTTCAAATGTTATGCCATTTAAATTATATTTTCTTATAATTATTACCAATTATATGAAAAAGTAATATTGGTATCGCCAATTGCAATGATTTGTATTTCTCATTTATAATTAATTAAACTGTAATATACTAAAACGAAATTCATCTATAAATGTTCCAAATACATATATTACCGACAATTTGTAATAGACCTTATAATACATCCCTTAATATAATTATAATTCTCAATAAGTCTGTTCTATAAATACCTGTAAGGACGTTCTTCAGTTGTGGATACATCAGAAATATAACATAGAGTTGCAACAGAATATGTAACACTATCTCCTAATAAAGAGAGAGGCACCGAAGCCAATAAATAATACCAGGGGCTTACATCTCCATCATCGGAGATATGGCTTATAATAGAAGTAATAGCATAAAATAAAAAATAACCTAAAAATAGTAATATAAATAATTTCTATGCAATGTACTTATACACTATTACCAGAAAACGAAGCAATTAACAAAGGTTTACGACCAAAACGATCTGACCAAGCTCCTACATATGTCCCGCAAAAAGCTGGCACGATACTTTGAATCACAGAACTGGTCATGAAAAGTCGGGCAACATATGGCTGAACTTTTTCTTCTATATCCTTCAGCATTCAAAAACGGAAAAGAAAATAAAATTGCATTTGTATTTATAAAGTAAAACGTTTTACTTTTTGTTAAACAAATTTGTTAACAAACATACCATAATATAATGAGAAGCGTTTCTGGTCGATAATTTTTGGCAATCAGTTGTGTTAAAATCGAATACAACGGTACACGTTTGAAAAATTATTCTATTTTTCAAAACCGTAGCTAATACAACAGATAATTATTTATATATTTTATTTCATTTTGGTGAATGCAATTTGAATACATACCAGATAAATTGTAGGCAAAAACCAATATCAACACCATTAGTTCAACTAAATAAAAACGTATTATTTGCCATCTCCATCGGAATTCTGTATCAGACGACATATCTATTCCAGTTAGCAAACCTTCACTGGCTGTGGTCGATACAGAATCCGTGTTTCTTCTTTTGAATTTAGCCAGTAATGTACTTTCTTCATTTGGATTTTCATTGTCCAACGTGCTAAGCATCGTGAATCAGTGTCAGTCACTCAATACTATTTTATTCACTCTGACTTTGTTATAAATATTAATTTATAAATAACCCTCAGTATGCATATTCTTTTTTATCATTATTTGTGCTCAAAGAATTTTATTCTTATTAGTTGGAATTAAATGAATCATTGAGGGGATCTTTTTTATTTCCTTTTAATATACTTATGTACATATCGTTCATAAATGCAACAAAAAATACTCAAACTCTTAGCAGTCACTATTATTCACAATAAAAATAATATTAAACTAAATTTTTAAACTTTTGATGATATTGTTTAAAAAATACTAAGATTTAAAAATAATTAAATTGGTCCAGCTAACGAACGATCATCATAAAATTAAGTAAGGTCAATTTAAAGAGGGTTAACAAAAACACAATTTTATTTTCCAAAGTAAGCCGGTCTAATGTACATACAGTTATATTATGTATGTATATGTGTATCTTGCGGTTTATTCCAGCAAACATTTTCATCTACGAAAGGAGCTAGTATCGTCTTACGCATATTCCGAATACATACCTATGTATATGTAAAAGTAGTGAAGGTATTTACCAAAGAATAAACGTATTTACTTTTTTTTTTATTAATGTGTCATAATTTATTTAATATTTTTCTTAAACTTCAAAAGTACAACGTTTAATAACATGTGTATATTATTGTGTTTTATATATATTTATATTCTCCTGATATCGTATTAAATAGTAGTAGGTTGTTGTATGTATGTAGGTTAGGTTTGATAGATGATTTCCTACAACTTAATTTAAACAACATTATTGGATAACTTTAAACACACTTAATTTTTTTCAGATCTAAAAATAGGAAGGATTGAGATTTAGTCAAAATCCTTTACAAAGAATTGTAGCAGCTTGAAAATTTTAAGAATCATTTAATTTATTTCATAAACTTTGAGTGTTAGAGAATAGATCTAAATAGTGTCTACGAAACTAAATAAATAAAAAGATAATGGAAAATGATGGTGAAAATGTTTATATTGAATACACTGGGGTCATTTTAACTTAAAAAGAGACCTGAGCTTTAATAAAAACACTTGCAATGTATTTTTTATGGTGAAATTATTAACATAATCATAAATAAAAAGTGAACAAAAAATATAAAATATTTTGAAAATGAAATGATGGCGAAGTAAAATGAAAACCTATAAATTAAAAAAAGCCTTTACTAACAAAAGATAGCTTTTAATATCAAGCTCTGATTTTGTGCAATACATATTCAATTTAGTTTAGAGCAATTTAACTTTAGACTGGCTTGCTGGATGGCTAGCTAAAAATCATCTTATAAATGAAAATGACTCTGCTGTTGAAAATGTATGGTTTTACACTTAAGCCACAGCATCGGTGGAGCATTCTTCTTCAACGGTAATGTACAAACCTTCCTCCTCATAGGCAGAATCATGCTTAGCCAATATTCTTAACAAAGGGCGTAATTTTAACCACCACTGGCTTTTAGGAATACGGTGCCTAAAAAAATTACAATCATTTATAGATCATAAATGAGATTATACATATTTCGTAGTAATTTGAACATACTCGAAATTGGTTTCAGAAATCAAATCAGCCAAGGGGGTGAATCTGTATTGACGTCTTACTATACCCAACAGAACAGCAGATTCCTTGTCAGTACATTTAATGCTACCGTCAGGTTGCTTGTTATTTTTGAATTGTTCGGAAAACCATTCTACACATTTAGCTGCCATTTTCGTACCCATATTACGATCGAATGGTGTTGGAGAACCGCCCTGTTGCATGTGGCCTTAAATGCAAAATGTATTCAAATTAAATTAAAAAATTTCATAAAATTTGTTCAATCATGTCTTACCCAAAATATTCATACGGCAAGAGAATAAGCCTTTGCCTTCTTCCGAATACAAACGATAAATGAAATCGGTGTTATAATTGTCGGAAGCTTTTTCATTGCGTAAAATCAAACCACGCTGTACACCTTCAGCCATTTTCGAAGCCATGTGATAAACATCCTGTTGCAAATCTTTAATTGAAAACTTCTCCTCGAAGATGTAAGCAGCATCTGCTCCACCAGCTAAACCAGCTAGTGTAGCTAAGTATCCACAATAGCCACCCATAGTTTCAATGACGAAAACACGTCTCTTAGTACCTTGAGCCGATTGACGGATGCGATCACAAATCTCAGTAATCTCATTAAGGCCAGTATCGGCACCCAACGAAAATTCAGTACCAGGAACATTGTTGGAAATAGTAGAGGGTATAACAGCCAGTGGTATACAAAATTCGGGATAATTAGAACGTTGATCTGCAATTTGACCACACGCGTGGTAAGCTTCAAAACCACCGATAATCAAAAGACCCTGAATCTTAAATTCCCTGAGACGTGATGCAATTTCATTAAATTTACACTCGGGCAAAGTACGTTTCGTTCCCAAGAAAGCACCACCTTGGCCAACCCAACCCGTAACGTCGGACCAGCCCATTTCCTTAATATTGCCAGCAATAAGACCTTCAATGCCATCATGAATGCCGTAAACGACATCACCACGATAAATGCAATTACGCACAAAACTGCGTACAGCAGCATTCATACCGCAAGCTGGTGCACCAATATGCATAACAGCCAAACGATAGCCCTAGGTTTAAATAGCGAAAAAATAAACACAATTTCCTGTTAGAAAATTATATTCCAAACTCACCTGTCCTTCATGTTTAGGTGGCTTCAAGCGAGTCAACATCTTATAGGTTTCCAAGTTACGTTCAAATGAACGGCCACGCAATTTAACAGCCAATTCCCAATTTTTCTCGGCCATAGCCTTAGCAACAGCTTGAGTGCGTTCAACACACTCCATCAATGGGACCCGAACGGCTTGGTTGCCATCTAGAGAGACAACAACGGGCACAGTTTCATTCGTAGCTTCCATCAAAGCCAATGTAGCTTCAGCTCCCATACGACAACCCAAAACACGATCAAAAGCACTGGGGTTACCACCGCGTTGAACATGACCCAAAACAGTAATACGAGTGTCTTGTTGTAGCTTATCTACAACTACCTTTTTAATATCTTCAGCGGAAATAGCTTTGCCATCGCGATCAATAGCACCTTCTGCTACAATAATTATGTTTAAACGTTGACCAGCACTACGTTCCTATACAACGAGGCCGACAAAAGAATATCAATTAATATTTTCCCAAAGTGGAAATTTCGATTACATAAAATTAAAAAGGTACATATATACTATGAAATAAATACATATATGTAAATACAATGCAATTTATAGTTCTTTTTGTTTAAATTTTTAGCAAAAAGCAGAAACCCATTGTTAATACAAAAGGTTATTGGTTTATTGCATGTGAGTATTTTGCATTGATATTTTTTTTTTTATAAATTATGAATGAATGTATAATGCAAACACTACTTTATGATAACTTAATAATTATGCAGTATGATTTGATATTAATGTGATGTACTATTACATTAGTTATTATGCAAGTATCGTGTAAACTAACTACTCTTACATTCTATAGTTACAAACTGTGACATTATGAGACCAACACCATAAATGTATGAAAAAGCATAAGATGATTTAAAAAAAGCATATATGGACGATATCATTTCCTAAAAACTAATTTGCTATTTATTTATAAAAATAAAATAACAATTCATCTTAGATAACCGATTTAATACTACATTTTCATTGTGTATCGAATTTAGAATTCCCAAATTAGTATTTAAATATAAACAAAAATCACTGTTAAAATGAAATACATAAGTATGTACGCAGGTTTTAAATAATATGAGTTTACTTAACAATTTACTTAACAGTAAAACATAAAATGTATACCATGAGAAATATGCACTTTAAGCTGTTTCGTACATATTATGTAAATATATACTTATAAAGCCCTATTTACGATATATTTTCCGAAAATATAAATAAGAATTTATAAAAATATGTATTTCCATAAATAACAATAAATTTCAGAAAAATAAAAATCAAATGAAAGGGAACAAACCTAACCTGTAACAACTTTTCACATAAAATATCGCTCCAATCCTTTGGAGCCGGATCTTCGGGTATAAATATAGCGTCAGATCCGGAGGACATACCGGCTTGGAGGGCTAAATAACTAAAAATTTTAAAATCAAAATAATTATGACGATTGATATGAATGCAATGAATGTAATGTATTTATGTATATTTAAATAAAAATATGCAAAATACTTGTACAGCGATTGAGACGATTTCAATGAAGCATGTATGTATGTTTATTCGTTGGAGATGATTCGCAATGCAAATTAAAAACATATTTCTCTAAAATATGTACATCAGATGGTGCAAAGTAAAAAACTTATATATTAAATGAGGTGAGTGATCAGGATTCACATTCAAGTTATGCACAATAAATTTTTAAAAGCAAATTGTTTTTGCTTTTCAGCTCAGCAAGTGATAAATCTCTAATTAAAGTCAACAACAGCCAAAATAAACAAGTGAACAAAATTATATAGATTTTTGAATTTTGTTAAATCAAAAAAATAAAAAAATAAATTTAATTCTATAAAAAAGCAACATAAAATATAATCATTGAAATTTTGGCAAACGTGAAACAACTTCTAAATTTTGTTTTTTCTTGCCTGGCTTAATTGTTGGCAAAGCCTTTCAGGCCAATCGGACTTTGGAGGAGCTTCAGGAATAAAAATGTAATCAGCTTCACATGACAAACCAGCTACTAGAGCCAAATAGCTGTAAAAGAAAAACAATGATAGACACAAAATGGATGATAGAGGACACGCAACAACGAACAACGGATATTAGCCATCTCTGGTGGTTTGGGGGAAATTACACTCCATAAACATACGTACATAATAATAATTGTTTCTTTTTACCAATTATTTAGATTGTATGACCGATATGTGAGGAAATTAGATGTTTATGTGCAAACATCGGATGTATTCAAAATTTTAAGGGCCTAGCTTAATGTCTGTTAGTATTAAAGTTGTACATAAGCTTTAATTTAAAAGGATTTCATTAAA